CACACGGTTTATTATTATTAAATTTTTTTTTTTTGTTGTTGTTGAGATTTTAGTGGATTTAGAGTCGGGGGGCACTGGGCGGGCCCTGCCCCGGCCCCCCCCAGGCGGGGAGGGGGCTGTGGGGGGGCACATGGTGGTGCCAGCCCCGACCTCGTGGGGAGGGGGGGCCCGGCCCTGCCGGCACGGGGAGGATGGGAGGGAGGGGGGACGGGGTGGGGGCTGGCTCCAGAATAAAGTTTATTTATTCTAGTGCCTGGCTCGTTCTTGTTGTGGGGTACTGGGGGAGGTTGGGTTGCAGGGGTTGGGGAGATGGTCAGGCTGTGGCATCCCGAGTCCTGCTGGAGAGGGGATTCTTTGCTGCAGAAGAGTACCCCAGGACCCCTCATTTGCTCTCCTGGTTCTGACCATACCTGGAGGCTGGGCTGGGACAAAACCTTTTGGGGTCACCCCAGCATCCCAAAAGCTCTGCCCTTCCCAATCCTGATACCAGAGTTGTGTCTCCCAATGCCCAGGGCCAGCCCCAGAGCATTTGTGACATCCCCAGCAGGGGGTGTGGGGACAGCCCTTGGCCCCTCGTGCCGAGTTGAGGGCAGACAGGGTGGGAAGGCACATCCCTGCCACTGCACAGGGATGGGACCTGTTTATCTTCCTTTTGTCCATATTTTTTTTCCAGCAGCTGCCGGGTGAGGCCCACACAGCCCATAACAGGAACCAGGGGGCACTGGGGACACCGGGGCACGGCCTGGTCTGGCTTTCCTCGTCCGGCCAGGCTGAGAACAGCCACAGCTCGTGGCAGCAGTGGCAGCCCATGCCCGGTTACACGGTGAGGTCTCCCCGTGGGGGGACACAGCACTTCTCCTCCACAGCCCCCGCCGGCTGCCCGGGCGCCGGGCCCCTCTCCTGTGGCCGGGGGCAGCAGCCAGGCCGCGCCGGGGGGCCCTTGCGCAGGAGGTGGGCGAGCTCGGCCAGGCTGAGCAGGGCCGAGACCAGCCCCACCACGAAGTAGAAGTGGATGAAGACGGTTTTCTCGGTGGGGCGGGACACGAAGCAGTCGACGCGGTGCGGGCAGGGCCGGCGGCGGCACACGAAGAGCGGCTGCACCCTGAAGCCGTAGAGCAGGGCCTGGCCCAGCAGGAAGCCCAGCTCGGCGGCGATCCGGGCCACCACGCTGCCCACGTAGAAGGGCTGCAGGCGGTGGGCGCGCTGGCCGGGGGCCCCCCCGTGGCCCGGCTTGGCCGCCTGGTGCACGGCGAAGATGACGAAGAGGGCGGCGGGCGCCGAGAGCACGACGACGTGGAAGACGAGGAAGCGATAGTGGGAGATGGGGAAGGCGGCGTCGTAGCACACGGGTTTGCAGCCCGGCTGCTGCGTGTTACACACGAACTCCTCCTGCTCATCCTCGAAGACGTCGCTGCCCACCGTGGCCAGGACCAGGATGCGGAAGAGGAGCATCACCACCAGCCAGAACCGGCCCACCATGGGCGAGTGCTCCTGCACGGCGTCCAGCAGGGAGCTCAGGAAGCCCCACTCGCCCATGGCCGCGCTGTGGGAGCGGGGTCAGCGCTGGGGGGGACGCCGTGCCCGCGAGGTCAGACCCCGGTGGCAGCACGGCCCCGCCAGCTCTCCATCTTCCCGCCATTCCTGAACGCGCCACGATGTCCCCGCTCGCAGGAGGGTGCCAGCCCAGCTCAGCCCTGTCATGAGTGTCCCCAGCGCCTAGAATTCCCTCCCCTGGGATGGGTCCAAGGGCACCAACTGGAGCAAGACCAGCACATTCCGCATCCCTTGTCTCCCCGAATCCCTGGAGCCCCCCTTTTGCCCAGGTACCTGCGCAGGCTGCGGTCCACGGTGTGCCAGCGCGGCTGGTGGCGGCTGTCCAGGGCTGTCCGGGACTGTCCGGTCCCTTGTCCAGCTGGGCTGGGATAACGGTCCCACAGCCACGCCTGGAGTCCTTTTAAAGGGACAGAACAGCCACGGGGGCGCCCGGAGGGGAGGGAAGGGCTTGGAACTGCCGGGGGTGGTGGGGGGGCTCAAGGACAAACTCTGCCCCTGCCCAGGGCTGGGACTCCCACTGGCAGTGGCTCCCTCAGTGCAGAGATGTCCCCAAACCTTGGTGTCCCCAACCTGCAGGGCCTCAGGTCCCCAAGACACAGCACTCAGCCCCCAAAAGGCTCCCCCAGCACTGGCATTGCCCCCTGGACACGTCAGAGCCTGGGTGCATCCATTCCTGGTGGCACAGCTCCTGCCAGGGGCTGGGTTGTGCCCCGTGGCACCCAGGGGATGTTCGTGGCTGGCGCTGGCCCTCTCTTAGCCAGGACACTGTGCCCAGGTCGTCAGGGGGTCCATGGATATTCCCATGGCTCTGGCACGTGTGATCCCTGCAGGAAACCTCCATGGCATGGTTGGGGTCCCACCAGCCCCTCCCTGCCTTTGCCAGCGCCTCAATTCCCCTTTCCAGTAGCAGGAGCAGAGCCTGGACAATGTGGGTCACCCTCAGAGCCCGTTTGCCCCTCAGGGACGTGCAGTGCCCCTGGTGGGTCACAGTGCCTGGACATCCCACAGCTCAGTTCCCATCCAGCAGCATCTCCAACATCCCATCCGAGGAGATTTTGGGATGAGGAAACCCCTGATACGCACACTGTGGGACACTCTGTGTATTCCCAGAGCTCTCCCATCCACATCTGGGTGGTGCTGGGGTTCCAGGGGCAGCCCCACAACCCACCGGTGGCCTCGTCAGGGGTTGTGACAGTGGTTCTGCAGCAGAGGAGCCGTAAATAGCCCAGCCCTCGGAGGGGACGCGCCGGAGACGCTCTCCAGAGCCAGTGGAAAATCTGACAGTGCTTTCCACACTTGACTGGGTTCCAGCAAAGCACCGATAGTGCGGGGGGCCCCGGGGCTTCATGGAATCATGGAGTGGTTTGGGTTGGAAGGGACCTTAAAGCCCATCCAGTCCAACTCCCTGCCATGGGCAGCGACACCTTCCACTATCCCAGGTTGCTCCAAGCCCCGTCCAACCTGGCCTTGGACACTTGCAGGGATGGGGCAGCCACAGCTTCTCTGGGCCAGCAGCTCCTCCCGTGCTGGGGACCACAGGGGTGTTCACAGGAATTTGGCTGTGGAGCCACAGTGGCCACAACCAGTGGGGAAGTGGCCAACCAGCCCAACACCCCCAGAGCTTGTGCCAAACCCTCTGCTATGGCAGGGGGGGAGGGCTTAGCAAAAGCTCTGCAGTGATTATTTTTCCTAAAAACAAACACCCAAATTCAGTGAAGAAAATCAGTACAAACACTTTTATTCAACAAATAAGAAAAAAGACAAACTCAGGACAACAAAGAAAAAACACAGAAAATATTTACATGGAGAAGTGCTGGAAAAATGGCTCCAGCTCACCTGTGTAGGGTGATGGAGTTAAAAGTCTGAATAATTTAATATTCTAAGATATTTCATGAGGGCTGCATCAATTTTAAAAATTTTGGTATGTTCTGAAGTCAACTTCAACACTAAAATGACCACAAAGTGTCAAATAACAGGGAATAGGGAAGTGGGGCAGCACTCGCTGGGCATGAGGCTCCAGCGTTCACAAAAAAAAAGGGATGTTCTTGTTTCAACAAATCTAAAATACTCAAACCCAAGAAAAAACGAGCTGTGTTCACCTGCAATGAACATTTGTGGAGTGGCTTGTATTTGGAGATGATTTCCTAGGCTGAGATGGTCGCTGGTTGAGGGCTCCAGAGCTCTGCTGAAGCTCTTTGTGGGTCAGGAGTTTAAAATTGTCCTAAAACCTCAAAACATGTCATCCTCCGAGGACGACTCCAGGTACTGGACGGGCTTTTTGGCACGGCCAGGCCTGGCCCGGGGTTGGACTACGGGGCTGTTGGCACCGGGCTCAACGGTGAAGGTGTCGTCCTGCAGCTTGGATTTCTGCAGGGAAAGCAGGGAAGGAGTCATGGATCCGAGCATCCCCAGGGAACAACAGCGAGCATCACACGCCCGCTGTGCCACGGGCACAGTGGGTGTTTCAGGGGGTGGATCCAGGGGGTCTGGCCCTTATTAGGGAAAGGTTCTTCCCCCAGAGGGTGGTTGGCACTGACCAGGCTCCCCAGGGCAGTGGGCACGGCCCCAAGGCTGCCAGAGCTCCAGGAGGGTTTGGGCAATGCTCTCAGGGACAGGAGTGGGATCGTTGGGGTGTCCTGGGCAGGGCCAGGAGTCAGATTTAATGATCCTTGTGGGTCCCTTCCAGCTCAGGAGATTCCATGACTCTGTGCCCACCCTGTTCCCCACAGGCAGGTAGAGGCTCAACCTCCACCGGCTTTCCCTGCCAGAACCGACCCCGCTCCCTGTGGATCCCCTGGCACTGACAGGCGCAGGGCACAAACCTTTGACGCCACGGATTTGGAAGGCTTCGAGCCCAGATCCGACTCGGAATCCGAATCCAAGGAGCTCGGCTGCCTCTTCAGGACCTTCCTCCCCTTGGCGTCGTCGCCCTTGGCGCGCGGGGGTCCCTCCTTCGCCGCTGGCTTGGGCGCAGCCTTTTTCTTGGCCAGGATGTCCATGATGGAGGGCTGGTTCTCTGGAACAGAACGCGGCGTTAAATCCCCGCTCCGCTCCTCTCTCCTTCCCAGCTTGGGAATTACTTCCAACACAAACAGGCTCGGCGCTGCCGAGGGGTCAGCGCGCAGGCCGGCTCCGTTTGAAGCCGGGGTTTCTAGAAAGATCTCTCTTCCCCGGATGGTGAGGAATGAGGTTGTTTATCTGCTCAGTCCCACTAACGTTTAGAGGATCGAATTAAAAGGTCCCCGAAGCAATTTACAGACTATTTCAGACTGAAAAGTTCTGGACTCTCAAGGATCCGCAGTCCATCTCAGACCTTCAAAGTCCCGCACAGGGAGGAAGGAATTTTCCCAAACACTCACTTGGGGATCCTTTCTTACCTATACTTTGACATTTTTTTAAGAGCATCTTGAAGCACATCTCCCAGTTCAGCTCATTTCTGAGGGATAACAGGCTTTCTCAGCTTAGGAGTGGGAGTAACACGCTATTTTCCTGCTGGGATCACCACCCAGTTGATTCCACTTGGAATATGCAAAACAGCGTCAAAATCTGACAAAGTTTGGGCAGTTGAGTTTAAAAAAAAAACCAAGTCAAATGCCAGAGATGGACGAGGTGGAGACAGCACTGGATACATCAAAGTACCTCAAAAAGCTTTCCTGCCTCTTGGGAAGCTCCCAGGCCGCTTTCTTCCCAAAAAGACACAAAGTAAGACATAGACTGCAAGACACAAATTCCACCCGGATCATTCCTGCCAAGTATTACATAGCCCTGTAGGAAGCATTCACTTTTCCTGTTCCCAAACTAAGACTCCCTCCCTCCAAACATGTCCAGCATGAACTAGAACATGATATGTTTGGAAACAGACCTCTTAAACATGACAACAACCAGAGAACCTCTGCCACAAACCTCAGATCTTTGCTGAAATGAAAACTCCAGTTGCTCAGGCCCTGGAGCGCCGAGCGAAATCGCTCGGATCGTTTCCCGCAGGAATTGTAATTGTGCTCCAGAAATGATGTTGCTGAGCTTGCCCCTTACCCTTGGTGGCTCCGGCCTTCTTGGCTGCAGCAGGTTTTTTGGGCCCGGCCTTGGGGCCCGGCACTGGGACAGAGGGAGCAGCGGGAGCCTGGCCCACGTTGTCATCAGCGACATCTTGGACTTGAACTGGAAACAGGGAGCACAAAGTCAGTCTGAATCACCCAAACTGTCCCCCCTGCTCTGCCCTGTGCCCTCCCAAGGGGTTTTAGGACAATCCACAGGTTCAGAGGTATCGCACTCACCGGGGACAGCACTTGGCTCCGCCTTTTTCTTGGGAGCTTTCACTGTTTTTTCAGTGTTTTCCCTGGAAAACAAAACCCAAGTATTTTTTCAATTTATGATGCACTAAATAGGTGCACTGAAAAGAAACAGAGCTATGAATTTGTGTGTAGCGTTAAGCACAGCTAATCTTCAGTGGCTACAGAGAAATACTCACTTGGGAGCAGCTCTGGGCTTGGGAGGAAGCTTTTCCTTGGAGTTTGTATCCGATTCAGAGCTGCTTCCACTGTCACCCTGGAACTCAGGCTCCTCATCAGAGCTGGAGGAATTTGAGTCCGAAATGACCATGGTCTTGGCTTTGGCTGATGGAGGGACACAGAAGTGTTATTTTACACATTTGGCAACATGCAGTTCAGTTTTCTTTTTCAATATTTTAGCTGTAGTTATTAAAAAATAAAGATCTGAATAAAAACAAGCAGATGCTGAGACTGCCAGGGAGAAGACTCCAAATGACAAGTGTGTTCTGTCATTTGGAGTCTTCCAGCCTCACCCACAACACGTTTAATTTGCCAAGACAGTTGAGTAATTAAACCAAATAACCATATTGCTCTAGATGCCCATTTCTGCTTTTCCTCGAATATGTGTACAAATGGTAGAAATATTTGTTTTAGACAGTAAAATAAAGAAGCCTTTTAAAAATGATTTCTGAATGTGATCCGAGGCTCTGGGAG